CGAGGTATTATAATAATGTGAATTTTAAAATTGATATTAATATTGATGAAGCTATTAATAATGGTATTGATATTGATATTTATGAAGAAATTGATAATGATAGTAATTGTGCATGTTATAATGCATGTTAAGTGGTTATAAATATGATTAATACTATTAGAATCATGTAATTATTTGATATTAGTTGTACTGTTAAATTTATGGCTATTCTACTTCACAGATAAGTAACATTTCTTACTGATAATATTTCAGAGAATATCTTTAATGTGATTTATGATACAATTAATTTTATGAAATTTATATGTAAGTGGTGGTATAAATTAAATAGAAAATTTAAAAAATAATAAGTTGATATTCAAAATATTAATTGAAGCATGTTTTTTAAGTTATAAAGAATTTAATTTTACATTAGATGAAACAGATAAAGTGTGATCAATTATTTGTTAAAAATAATTCAAATTAAAAATATAAATAATAAAATCTATAAAATAAACCAAAATTTCTAACCTCAAACATTTAATTAGATAAAAAAAATGGCAAAAATTAATTATTCAATAAAAATTCTATTAAAATGAATATTATTTCACCAATTAAAATTCTATCGAAATTAAAAATTTTCTAACCTCTATTATTTTATTAAATAAACAAAAACGAAAAAAATAAATTAACAAGAATGAAAATACACTTAATTTAAATTCCACCATGACTAAACCTAAGCAACAAATTTTTTAACTTCAAATATTCTATTAAAATAAAAAAAGAAATGAAAAAAAATTAATAATAATTAATTATTAAAAAGAATTCCATCAACTGAATATACATCTACTAATTAAAATTCCTTCATAATGAAATCAATATCGAAACTCTTCTAATCTCGAATATTCCCTTATAATCGATCGTTATTATCCTTATTAAACACAGAACGCAAAAACTAGCTAAATAATTATTCCAAGAGATAAGGACATTGTGAAACCTCGACAATCGAATCAGCCTCGATTCTTGTACCTTTCGCTGCGCAATGAGTGGGAAGCACGTTTCACTAACAAAGTCGTGTATATTTTTCCCTTAAACGCAATCTAATGCAGTTTCTTTTTTCGTTTTGTCCGCAGAAAGAGAAGGAGGAAGAAGGAAGAAGAAAATATTTTTTTCGGGCACGTGTTGGGCATTTGTAAAGTGATACATAAGATGGAAATCTAAAGGAGGAAGACACCATGGTGACCACAGGAACTCGATATCTCCTCTGCGGTATTTCATTCGGAAGGATTCCCGAAAAATATATACTTTTTTTATACTTTACCACGAAATAAGTAATATGATTTATTTTTTTTATTCACGGATTAAAAAATGAAATTGTTGATTGGCAAGTTGATTATTGATTTTTCTCGATGATTTTACTTTGATTGATTGATGATGACAAATTACGTGTTTTACATTTGTTATTACCATTTGCTTAAAAACAAAAAAATTCTATATTTTATATTTCACATGCAAAAATTTGAAAAATGCAATAAATGCAAAATAGTCATAATTTATGCATAACTATCTTAAATACAAAAAAAAAAATTTCATAAATATTAATACGCGTGGTGGCGAACATGATGTGAAAGAATTGCAAAATATTTGAAAAATAAAGACGTTGGAAAGGAAAAATAGAAAACAATCATAAAATCAATTAAATATCTATCAAATACTCATGCATATATGCATGTCATAATTTTACTATCTTATTAATCACACGAAGAATTTTCTATCAAAGAGAATTTCTCCATCGAGTATCTAATTATCTAATCATTCATATACGTATAATATTAAAAAATATTATCAAAATATTACGTCTTAATCATATCATGACAATCAACTAATTTTAAGAATAATTTTCATGCTTAGTATTAAAAAAAAAAATAAATATATATGTTATATATATATAAGAATTTTGAACAAGATAATATCAACATTTATAAAGAAATAATTATTTTTTGAAATAAATAAAATTCTTTTTATTCTCTAAATAAAAATTTACATGATTAATAAGATTATGAAACTATATTAAACTATATACTACGTGCATGATTAAATAATTACTCAATGGAGAAATTCCTCGATAAAAATTTGTATGATTAATGGAAAAATTCGATTAAATTAATTGTGTATATTACGAACTGATTTCTGCAATTGGAAATCACCATGGACACGGCATTGAACACGGAAATTCCATCTAGCACGATTCTCGAAAGCGTTCTCTTCGGTTTAATGAATGCTCCGGAGGAAGGAGATCACTCGAGATTATTCCTATTGTAATTCGAAAAAACATTAAGTGTTCACGGAATGTTTCTTATGTAGTACATGATACCGGCATGCAACGTTTTGTCTCATTATTACACATGCTATACTTGCTCGTTAAAAAAGGAAACAACGGTCTCGAAGGCCGTCATTACTCGATCGTCGTGAATTCCAGCACGAACCGGAATTTTTTCAATTCGATCGATTAATCAACCAATGATTTAATCCTTTCATAATCAAAATATTGTATTTATCTTGATTTATTTAATTATGATTAAGATTGCTTCTTATGACTGTAACTCTTTGAATTCTATTTGAAAAAAATTTTCACATACGATTTAATTTTTTTTTTATGCACATGATAGTATATTGTATATTTAAAAATAAATCAACAGATTTGAACAATAGATGTAAAAATTTAATCATATATATATGATGAATACTATTAAGATGATTTCAAGTTATTATAATATTTTGCAAAAACAAAAAAATAAATAAATACAATTTAAATTCCAAAAATAATTGGAATAAATTATATTAATTCTGAAAAATATTTTTTAAAACATTTGAAGATAAATATAATGATATTTTTATTAGTAGTTAGTATTATTTGCATTGTCAAGCAATCATTTTGATGCATACGCCTTTGATAAAGTTAATCATTCGGTGATAAGAAGTTTAAATTTGTTAAATTTTAACTTAATTCAACTTACTATTGTACGTGCATAATGAATTATAAAAAGTTGTTAAAGTAACTTAAGGGATTTGTACAATTTGAATATATATGAATAATAAAAATTAATGCTTATCTATAACAGTTCTGAAATGTTTATATCATCATCAATATAAAAAAAAACTCTTAGTTTTAATTCAAAAATATCTGATTATATTTTCCATTAATTCGAAAGCAAGGAACGAGAGACTATGATTTCTCCAGAGTATTCATTAAACCGGAAGAGCAACATTCATCAAGTCTCCAAGGAACATCCGTCTATTTAAGAGAAAACAGGAAAGTAGACGATCTCAAGGATGGAAATTAAAGGAATTACAAATTGTTCGTGTAACGAGACGCAGCATTATCTTTGAAAACTTT